CTGTGGGGGAGTGCTCACCAGTAAGTAAGACCCTGTTTCTGGATCTGGGTTTCCTGTCCTATGAGATGCCAAATCCTCCCAAATACAGATGTCCCTATCCAGCTTTTTTAATTTCCTATCCGATACCGATCCCGGCCTATCAGAGCCTGATTAAAGTTTAAAGTTATTTATCTACTTACTTAGTTGTCAGACTCATGTTGAACAGGGATTTACTCTGATAACAACTTAATGGTTAGGACACAGACCTGTGGGTTAGGAGATGCTAATGCTAATGCTAATGTGGGATCGGACTTAAAAAAAACTTTTAAAAAACTGGATCTGGAGTCTGGATCTGCATTTTCTCCTGCCGGCCGATACGCATCTTTTTGCAAATATTTGCGGAAAAGCCTATTAAGTACAAAACAAAAAACACTGTTATGACTCCAGACTTTGACCAATGACGCCTTTCAACACGATGATCCGATACTTTAGTGATGCTGAAATCATTAAAGCTGGTAAATATTCACACACTAAGCCCTCTTACTAATGTTCTGAGCTGCCAGTTAAGCTCCTCACAGAACAGAAAAATCCCTTTTCCAGGGGAAGCAGAGAGCCAAATAAGTGTCCAAAACTGTGAATTTAAAAAGGAAAAGGTTCAGACAACATGGCTGATTTCTATTTTTCGACTGTATGTGGACACGTGCTCATTAGTGCTCACTCACAACTAGGGTTGTCTCAATTCGATATTTGCAAAAAAATACAAATGATCCAGACTCCAGATCCATATTTTTGGATGTTTTGGGTCATTTTGGATGTTTTTTTTCTAGATTACCGATTAAAATAATCCATTACTGAGTTAATACACTATTTTATATTCAGGTTTTTTGTCTGTTTTGCCTTTTTAATACAGTTTACAATATTATTCGCACTTTTTTCTGTTCACTGATGCAATTTCCGTTTGTTATTTTAATTTTAATCCTATTTTCTGTTTATCCCTAAATAAACAGGCCAGTGTCTCTTTACTAACCAGTGTGTTTTATTCATACTCCCTTTAGAGTTAGCATTAGCATTAGCATCTGTAACCCACAGGTGTGTGTCCTAACCATTAAGTTATCAGAGTAAATCCCTGTTCAACATGAGTCTGACAACTAAGTAAGTAGATAAATAACTTTAAACTTTAACACATGGCCCGGATAGGATCGGGACGTCCCTGCTCACAACTCTATTTCTAACCCAATCAGTCCCAATAAATTCCACTCCAAATTGGTCCAATTCACTCAGATCCAATTAAAAAAGTCTCCTAGCTTGAATCAACCGGAGACTTTCTGAGTCTTCAGGACAGAAAACTAAAGAGTTCTGGTCGTTTAATCCTAAAGGAACAAATGCGTTGAGCAGCTCTTTCTTGAGAAATGTGCTAATAGTGTTGTGACGATACTAAAATTTTCAACTCGATACCAATACTCAGGAAAATACTCGATACTATTTTCGATACCACAAGGATAAAAACAAAGACCCCAAAATTTAACTGAATTGTGTCTTTCATTTCAAACTGACCTGTTACTGATGTTATCGTGACTGGTGGCCCACATTAATTACCCTAACCCTAATCCTAACTCTAACCATGACCCTAAACCTAACCCTCCACCCTTCATAGTTGTGATAAATAAATATTTTTATGTCTGACCTAATAAATATTAGGTTAGCGTCGCGCTCGCGCAGTGGTATCAATACTTTAGAAAATGAGTATCGTATCCGGATACAACGTTTTAGTATAGAGTATTTTAGAGTATCGATACTTTTGACAACCCTATGTGCTAAACTGAGTTTTTCTTGTGATGGTGTGAATTAAAAATGCCCCCCCCCCCCCCAGGTGCGGCCATAGCGGGGGTGTATAAGGCGGCGGGGAAGACGATGATCTCTCTGGAGGCTCTGGTGTTCGGCGTGGGACAGTCCTTCTGCGTCCTCATCATCTCCTTCCTGCGGATCCTCGCCACGCTATAGCACGCTTTAGCACGCTTTAGCACGTTTTAGCGGCACTTTAGCACACTTTAGCAGGCTTTAGCGACGCTTTAGCACGCTTTAGCGGCACTTTAGCACACTTTAGCACGCTTTAGCGCGGTCTAGCGCGCTTTAGCGACGCTTTAGCGACGCTTTAGCACACTTTAGCACGCTTTAGCGCGGTCTAGCACGCTTTAGCATGCTTTAGCGACGCTCTAGCGCCCTTTAGCACACTTTAGCGGCGCTTTAGAACGCTTTTAGCGGCGCTTTAGCACGCTTTAGCGGCGCTTTAGCACGCTCTAGCGCGCTCTAGCACGCTATAGCACGCTTTAGCGGCGCTCTAGCACGCTCTAGCGCACTCTAGCGCGCTATAGCACGCTTTAGCGGCGCTCTATCACACTTTAGCACGCTCTAGCATGCTTTAGCGCGCTTTAGCGGTGCCCTCGGTCTGAGCCAGGAGTTAGGACCCGAGTCAGACCCGGGGGAGTTAAACCTGGGGGAGTCAAACCCGGAGGTTCTAAAGCCAGGGGAGGTTCTGGGAGTTAAACCCGGGGAAGGGTCGGGGTGTTATATTTGGTGGAGGAGCTAAACCCGGAGGAGCTAAACCTGGGGGGCTTAAACCCGGGGGAGTCAGACCCGGGTGAGTTAAACCCAGAAGAGGATCTATACCCGGGGGAGGGTCGGTTCTCCTGGCCGTGGAGCCGTTAGGACGGCCTAAAGCTGGACACATCCAGGCTGAACTGAGCTGAACTGAACTGAACCTGGATAAACTGAGATGAACTGAACTGGGATAAGCTGAACTGAACTGAACTGGGATAAGATGAACTGAGCATATTCCCAGCTCACGTGGGAGTGTGACCCCCGGATCCTAGACCCCCAGACCCTGGACCCCTAGATCCTGGATCCTGGACCCGCTCCGGTTCTGCTCTCTCCTCGGGGCTCAGACCTCTCAGCTGCAG